ATTATGTAAAAAGTTTTCATTAAGTTTAATAAAGATAAGAGCATGGTCTCACCTTTAACATTAAAAAAAAAAAAAATAAGTTTAATTATTCATAATAGTGTTGTAATATATTTAGTTATGTTGTATTTTAACTATATTATTCATATTATATACATTATTTATAACTTATTTAATTATAAGTTTTTATATATGCTTTTTTACTTATTTAACTATGTCATTCATATCATGTACATTATTTGTAACTTATTTAATTATATGTTATTCGATAGATTTATGTACATATTGTTACTTATTTAATTATATGTTATTTATTAGTTTAATCATGTATATTATTTTCAATAATTTTTAATATATATATTGTTATTTATTTAACTAAATATTATTTGATTAATTTTTTATATACATGTAATTATATATAATAATATTTAAATACTTGTATTTGCTTATGCTTTAAAATTTATTTTAATTATTATTATCTAATGGAAGATTTAAAAAAGTTTGCAAGCAAATTATATTTTTGTAATTCCTAACAAATATTAATTAAAAGATTTTTGTATTATCTGCAATAAAGAAATTTTATCTGATTTACATAAATCTATTATTATATAAATATGCAAACATCTTTCTTATTAGTTATGCATGCTTAGTAAAAACAGCTAAAAAAATCAGTACAGATGAAAATGCAGAGCCACTGCAAGAGCATTAATTGCTACAAGTAATTATGTTATTCTTTAAAAAAATAATTTTTTAAATATTATAAATAGAATAAACCAACAAATATTATTATAATTTAATTTAAAAAATCTTTAAATTTTTATAATTTATAGGCTCTTTAGAATTAGAAGAATCTAATGAAGAAATTCACAAATTAACTCTAAAAAAAAAAATAGCAAATCGACAAAAGTAAAAAAATTTTATTTAATTAATTATACTTTATATAGTTAAACTTATAAAGAATACTAAATATATTTTATTATAATCAAATATTAATTCAAGAAATTTCAAAGCAACAAAAAACTGATTATTCAAAAACAATAGCACAAACATGCTCCAAGAAGCATATAATGAAAGATTTACTAATAGTGAAGGTACAATTTCAGCATCTTTACCAAATTCTCCCTCTTCAAAACAATTTCACTCATTTAAATCTGTAAAACAATTTCAAGAAGAGATTAATTTAGTCTCTTTGGAATCCAAATCACAAAAGGTAAATATTTATGATACTGCTTATTTTACTGACAATCATTTTACCAAAAGTTTATTTAGCTAATACATAGAGTTAGGATTAGCATTTTATTAGTTGCAAGAATATATTATTAGTAAATTGTCATTTGGCATGATATTGGCTAAGTAAGTTGACAGTGAAATTATTTATTAATATTAATAAAATTCTTTTTTAGAGTCAAGGATCATCAAAACAGTTGTCTAAATATCTAGTATCTGCTAAAAAGTCAAATAAAAAGATTCAAATTGATGAATTTATATAAAGTTTAATTACAGCCTCAGTTGGTAATATATATATATCTTTAAATTTTGATAATATGAGTACTGAAAGCTCTACAGCAGAAAAGTTGACTCAATTATTTAAAACAGCTTATAGTAGTAAAAATGAAATTTTAATGAATTAAGTAGAAAGAAATTTAAAATTGGTTTAATTATACTGAAGTTTTGAAAACAGAGTAAGTGAACTTATCATAGATGATTTCAATAAGCATAAAGCATGAACTAAAATATATGATAAAATAATACTATTAATTTCAGATATCGCCCATATAAACTTGTGATAGAGAACACATAAAGCACAAGTTATTTTTAAAATTTTTAGTAATATTGGTATAAATAAAATCCAAAATGTTAAATATAGTGCGGATACTATATTATATTATACTGCTAATAATATTAATATGATTATAGATCAGACCTGTGGATCGATAGCATAGCGGTTATGCTCCCAGGTTACAAATCGTAAGGTTGCCGGTTCAATTCCTCCTAGTGGTGAAATAATAAAAAAACCAAATATGGAAGTGAAACACCACGGGGTACAGGGAACCCGAGATATTTACAAATAGACGTATTCAGGAAATAATTATTCCGAGAAGCTGTTGCTGTGAAGAAAAGCCATGCTAGAACTCTGATTTGAAATAACTGAAGTCACGAGATGTAATGTGAGGTCTAAAAAAGTCTGAGAGGGTACTACATAAATTCGTGGTGCCACCCGATTAGCTCGTGAAATAGCGGTTCAAGGATAAAGTGTTTTGGCCTCTCCGGAGTGTCGTGCAGACAGTCAGACCTAGACCCCAATAAGGGAACCGGGGAAATGTTGGACAATAGATACCAGGTGGGTACACATGATACTGTATGGGGTTATGGAGGTTCTGTGACACTAGTAGCATAGAGTCAACTATAATATAGCTGGACCAAAATCATGACTAGACTTGCCGAAGAAATAAAAAAAAAAAAAAATATGATTATAGATCAAAAATTTGAACAAAACGTTTCTCGATAATCACTTGTACCAAATTTTTTATAAACAAAAATTTTTTAAAAAAACTTATTTGTTGTTGTAAATATGTGAAGAAAAGTAGTGTTGGGATCTAGATGCCAATTTGGATATCCAGATAGTCATCCATGCTCAAAAACAGCAATCCGGATAGGACATCCGTATCCGTTAACAAATATCTGTACTTAAAAATGGCCATCCAGATATCTGTAAATATTATAGATATCCGGATAATAGCCAATTAGAATGTGTTAACCAATTATTTTATTCTTATTACAGTAAATTAAAAGTTCTATATAGACATCCAGAATATTTTTTATTATCCGGATTCACTATCTGTGAGCAAAATTTAATATTCAAATATCCGTACCATCCACGGATATCTGGATGTTTAACCAAATGAATCCTAATACTAAAAAAAAGGCAGATATTCACAAGTCAGCACCTGTTATTTAGAGATAGTTCTTATACACTATCTGCTAACTAGTTTAAAGTTTATTACTCACCGCAGAAATAATACTTGTTATTTAAAAGTAGTTTTCACATGCTACTTGCCAACAAGCTCAGAGTTTATCACTTATTAGTGCAAAAAGTTATCTATACTCCTCTCCCTCTCAAGTTAGAGTATACACTTTAGGTTAAAGAAAATAAACACTCTTTAAGAAAAGGCTCAAGTGACTCTTCTATTACCTTCTCTGCTTCATTGCCATTTCTCCAAAATTTTCGATAAAAAGTGGAGATTTGGTTTACTCCCTCCAAAAGATCAGTATCGTTTACCTTCCAAATTCAAATGAGTATAGTAGATTGTAACTACATGTATTGTTTATTTATAGATACAGCACTACTTTATGTGATCAGGATCAGGGTCACCAGCTAAAATATCTGAGGATAGTTGAAAAAAGAAATATATATTAAGGCAAAGCTTTACAACAGAGATATAAAAATATTGTATTTGTTATATAACTTTTTTAAAGCTTGATATGGGCTATAACAGTATATTTTTAATGGCCTGAAGTTTCTTTTAGTAGGTTATCTTCTAGTCTTTTAGTCTTTTTCTTTAGTTTAGGTTTTTTATGTTAAACTAGTCTTCTTGCTCATTATGTAGTTTTTTTTCTTTTTTGTTTTTCTTATCTATTGTTCTTGATCAATTATTTTTTTTTTGTATTGTATTACTCATTTTCTTGGCTTTTAGTTTTATTTGTTTTACCCCCTCTCCTTATCTTACTCTTAGTAAATTTCTTGCAATTTAATAAAATATGAAGGAGAGAAAAAGCCATTATGGTGTAGCAATTAGGCTAGTTTAACATAAGTCTTCTAATCTTAAAATCTTAAATTAGTGCAGTAGGTTGCACTTGGGCATCTATAAAATAGTCAGATCTTTAAAGAAAGCTAGATAATGTCAGACTTGCAAATTAGGAGTAAACAAATATATTTCTAGATGTATTTAGTATCTTAATAAAGTACTGGTGAAACTGCCTAAAAGTCAAAAAATATATATATATGATTATAGATTATGTAAAATATATCAATGATTAGTTTTATCTTTCTTATATATTAAATTTATAATTGCTTTGTATTTGCTACAAACTGCTATTGAAAAAACTTTTGCTACTATATTAATATATTTTATTATTTTTCTACTATTATTAAATTTTATATAATCAATTAGTATAGATATCAGATTATTGTACACCCCAATGTCACAAGTCCCAAGAACTGTTTTAAGACACAATAGCTTAATTAATAAACGAATTAGGTTTTATTGTAAGAAAATAACAGTCAAGTATAATGTCAAAACTTTTTTGAATAATGATAAAATTTATTTTGATTTATATTTTGTGAAAAAAATAAAGTTTATCTATAAGTTAATATTTGTATCTTACTTGATTTTTACTATTTGTCTTTTTACTTTTAGACCAATTTTTTTTTTTTTTTTTTTTTTTTTTTTTTTTTAAGGTGAAATTTTGCCTTATGTTGTTTATTAGATATATATGTATATAACATACATTTATACTACAATTAATAGAACAGTGGCTTAGACTAATTATCTATGATTATACCTACCAGAGCTATCTATGCCCCACACATATATAATCTGAATTTTGTATACTACTAATTAAATATCCTATTCAAACCTTAATATATTCACCACATTTCTCATACTAACAACCTTACACTTCTAATATGGTTCCAGTACAGTATTTGTTACAGATCCCACTAGGGGGCACCAGGCAAATGTAATCTTATGGCTACTTTCAGATTGGTGTAGTACATGTTGTCTGCCATTACTGAGTTCATATCTCAAGCCATTATTTGTAATGCTGCTGTAACCCAGTTCGTATTTCAAGCACAACCTTCCTTATTATATATTGGTATTTTAAAGTTGGTGTTTCTGTGTTCTGTTTCATACTTGTTCCTTTTTCCAGATCTCATCCTAAGATCTTCCCCTAGCCATATTACCGAAGTAGCCAAAGAATGTACAACTAAGGTGGCTCACGTGACCTGGTGACCAGACAAGTACCTTCAGTTGGGTATGACCTTGCTGTGTCTTGTCTATTTTAAGCATATTACCTACCAACTTACTCTATATAAGGAAATTCTATTCAATCTAGTAGTAGTACGAGTGCTAGAGATGTTCCAAATCTGGTAAGGCCAATTTTTTATCACAGGTCCCTTTGTATTCACCACATTTCTCACCACTTCCAATTCTAGCTACCATCCAGTTGTCCTCCCAAACAAGATCCCCAATTCCACCTTGGGGTTGTTGGTACTATCTTGCCAATTGTGAATTTATACACACAACTTTTTGTGTAATAGAACCTTCTGTAACAACCTCTGTTACACGTAGTGCCAACTACTCCTCTTTCTGGAAATTTCTAATCCAGACCTGTATTCACTTGGACTTCCCACGGCAGATACTTCTAAATATTTGTAGGTAAATGTACCTACTAGGACTTGAACCAGAAACCCGCTTGTGGAGGGTTGGGTGCCTAGACCACTAGGCTGCAGGATCCTAACTCTATATATATAAATTTTAAAAAATATTTATATAGTATTTGTTAGTAAAAATTTTAAATTTAAATTACTTTTTATATATTAATTTAAATTTAACCAAATTTTATAATTTAAATTAACCAACTTGTCTTTACAACTTTTATTAAAAATTTAAAGAAATTTATATAATAAAAATTTTTTTAATTACTAAATATATTTTATAAGATAACTAATAACTACTATATAAAATTAGTTTAAACTAAAATTTTAAAATTACAAAAAAATTGCTATAAAATTATAAAAAATAGCTAAAGCTTTTAAATAATAAATATAGAATGCCCCAGATTGAAGATATTTGAAACAAGTATTTAATTAAGTAATTAATTTTAAAATTAATAGATAATTAGAGTTAAAAAGTGCCAATTGGTAGTACATTGTACTACCGGTAGTATGGGTAAATCCAATCTATTAATTATATATTGTAGTTATCAGAATAGTGAATTTTGTACAGAATAATTCACAATAACTTATAATAGAAATTACAAGAATTCTAATACAAATTATTCCAGACTTAACTGTTATCAAATAATGAGTAAGTTCTGTAATAGATTTTTTTATACAATAGTAACTTAACTCGCAATGGAAATATGATAATTTTTATACAAATTATTTCAGTTTAAGTACTGTAATAAGATTTTTAAGTAGCACAATTCTAATATTGACAACTCACTCATTTTAATCACATATTATTTTGTAACAAAATTATTTACAGTAACTCATAATAGAAATCATAACAATATATAAACTAACTTATCTTAACCACATATTAGAATAGTAAATTTGTAATGAAATTATTTACAATAACTTATAATAAAAATTATGATATTTCAATACAAGCTAACTAAAATTTAATTACATATTATGAATATCAGAATATGTAGTTCTGTATCAAAATTTTGTTTGTAGTAATATGCTATATAAGTTGTCACTTTC